ATAATTTATTAACAAATATATTATAGAATGTGTTAAATTAAAAGATATATTAATTATTATCATTTATTCTAACACATACAAATAAATTAAAAGTGAAAATAATAATTTATTAACAAATATATTATAGAATGTGTTAAATTAAAAGATATATTAATTATTATCATTTATTATAACACATACGAATAAATTAAAAGTGTAATTATTATATATTTTTTACATTAAATTTTATTAAAAAATAAAAAAAATCTTTTATTTAATTAGCTATCCAATTTTTCACTCTATTCCACATTGTCAATTTTGAGAGGGAGCACTAGATTAAGAAAATAATAAATTATTTTCGATTTTAGGGATAGATATGTTTAAAGTATCAAGTTGCCATTTTAAAATTCACTTTTATTCACTATTTCGATGAATGAGATAATTAATGTTGAGGGTAAAATAGAAAGATAAATTTAAAAATGACAATTGAAATGAAACAAAAAAAAAATTCCTTAAACACCTAATAAAGCTGAAATTAATATTAATGATTTATATAATATTAATGATGAAATTAATATCTTTTTTTTTTCCTTTTTGAAAATAATTATGGAAAAAAAATATAATAATTAAACCTTTATCGCGTGCCTAACGTGTTTGGTAGGTAAAAGGAAGAAAATGTACTTTACGTGTCCGGTAGGCTAAAAAGGAAAACAAAATACGCACTCTTCTTTAAGTAAGGCATTTAACAAAAATTGATTGCTGCCTATCAGGAAATTTATGGTTCAAAGTCTCGTAAATTCTTAAGGGAACACTGATTCTTACGTATAAATATATATGGTGAAAAGTACATATTTGTTATAACTCTCAAAAATAATAGAAATGGTTTTTGTATAATTTTTTTATCTTATTTTTTTATATAATTTGATGTGTCATTAAAATAATTGATTTTTTTAACTCATATAAGATCCATGATATTAAATGCATCCACTCATTTAATGATATGTAAAAGTTGTATAAAAAATGAGATAAAAAAGTTATCCTATAGCACAACTCTAAAAATAATTAGAGTTTTAACTTTAAATTATATCGTTTAGTTTAGTAAAAATCAAATTAAAATTTAAAAAATTATCTTATTAAATATTAATATATTAAAATATATAATGAATTTTCAAATTTAAATATCAATATTTAATATGATATGATTTCAATTTTTAAATATAAATTAAAACTCTAATTATTTTAAAAAAATCAAAATTGATACCCACTAATCTCTATATATAAAATAAAGAAGTATCCGGGCAACCCAACCTAACTTGGTTTCACACCTTAATTGTGCTAAATTGAAATATAATGCGTTAGTTAAGAGTAACATACCTCATATGCGTGTAAGATTAGTCAGCTTCAAAGTGCAACAAACAACCTAAAATACTAACTTTGGAATCTGATGGAAATAAAATTGCCGATTTTGAGAAGGTTTTGGCAAGAAATTAAGAGGGGGAAAGAAGAGTGTGAGGCCAGGTAAGGGTTGGCAGAGTTAATTTAGGGTGTTGAAGCTCAGCGGCAAATGCAATAGCTAGGGAGTGGAAAACGGGTGAGATTGGGCTGTTCCCACGTCAACATGCCCTCCTTCTGACTTCTGTTCCTACAAGTGCAATTTTTATGTATAATAACTTATCTTCTGGTGCCAAACCTTTGACAAGAGATAGAGGTTGGTCCTCTACCTTCACATTGTGACTTTCACAGTCCCCGACCTGTTGATGGCTGGTGTCAACAGACAGTTACTCCTTTATGTTAGCTCTGTGAATTTTATGATTTATCATAGGGCTAAGAATTTGGCGTGCTGTTTGTGTTCAAAAGTTGGTTAAAAAAGTGGGAGATTTCATGAAGAGAAATGGAAGAGACCGTTAAGAGGCAATGATAGTCTCTTGATGGTAGAAGGGAACCTGGAATGATACATAAAACTTAAGGCTTAATTTGGCATATTGCAAGTGCACAAAAATGATAAAAATGATTCAATCTCTTGGCATTTTAGTAAAACATGCAACAATATTATACTTTTAAACCATTTCAGAAAAAAGTAGAATGCTTTATAGGGAACAAATATGGTCACTCAAAGTTTACTCTTGCTTACAGGTATAAATATATTGACATAAAAACTTGAAAATTCATTTCATGATCATACAAACTTAGGATTTACGATATGACAGCAGATGCATAAGAATTGATATCCATGAGACTTAGCCACCACAGCAGGAGCCACAAGCAGGCAGGGAATCTGAAAATTTGCAACACATTAAGGAATAGTGTTGTAGTTAACAGAAGCAGAGATCAAAGAGAAAACAGAAAAGTAGAAGCAAAACAAAAAAATCCAGACTTACTATGGTCAATTCCTCTAACATTGTCTAATCCACGTGGAGGACGACGAGGACCACCACCACCACCACCACCACCAGGTCCGCTTCCAGGGCCACCTGGGCCGTCATCCCATTTCTTGCCAACAGCGCCTTTCCTGTAGGCATCTGACTTTTCCATCTGATGCATGTAAAGCATTCAAGAAAATGAACTCCTAATTAATTATTGCTAAATTACTAATTTTTTGATGAAACGCTAAATTACTAATTCACTAACACTGATGCATGTTGATGAAACCCAACAAAGAATATTTGCAACAATTAACAATTACCGAGAACAAAGTTGCAAAAAAGACGCCAATGAAATTAACAATGGCCCAGAAGAAATCAGTGATGGTTCTCAGTCTCCATATTGACCGCTTGGACTTCACAACACCTGAAATAACCAAGACAGACCTCTTAGGCAAAATGACAAGGAAAAACTTTACTTTAAGTTGCCACTTCCCACACTAGACATTCTGACAATCACTAAAGTAAATTATGCATACATGAAATGAAATTAGCTGTAACTAGTCAAATAATCAATGCAGTAGAAAATACTATGTATAGATCATCAACCAAAAACCCTATACAAGAAAAGTCAACAATGCCATACATGACAGAGCCTGCATGGTGACCATCCAGACTCCAGAGGTCCTACTAGAAACCCTTAGAAAGGAGGTCAAGGTGTTTAGCAACAGCAGTGGAAATACAATACTAGAGTAGAAGAAATAGGCATTCATCTCCACTCCACTGAGACTAAGCTTAGAATAACTTACTATTACGGTTTCACTTTCATTTTTTTGGTGGTGCCAGAGCGCCCTGGTAGCATTTGTTGAAAGCATGACAATAGATAAATTTTATGGGACAGAATCATATCAGCTTACTCACAAAACAGAAAGATAAAAAAAAAAGAGAAAAAAAAAAAGAGGGAACCCCCAGTATCCATAGAGGACTAGAACCCTTAAAAGGGAGAAACAAAATTAACCATCAAAACTGATATATTTTAAATGGAGGGAACACTGACAATTAATAGAGAATACTGGATGGTGAACTGATTTTGTTCAATCAAATTTCCCATAAAGGAAATTCATCTATCGAGAGTGAGATCTTGACACTCCCAAGGTACAATCTAATGTTTCTATTCAGTTGGGTATTGCAACATAACTTAGTACGAATGAAAGCTATCATCATGCACACTTATAAAGCCACTATCCCCATTCAAACACATTTTGCATGGACCAATCCAACAGATTCCATAACTGATTTCTATAACTTAAAAGATTTAAAAAAAAAAAAAAAAGGAAGAAGAAGCAAACTACCCATATTACAAAAGAATACAAAGTACAATAGAGTTTTATTGCGAACATAAATTTAAGAGTCAATCAAATTAACAAAGTTACAAGAAACTGAAACCTTAATACAACCCAGAAAAATTTCAGATTTTATCTGTACAAATCAAACATGTCCAAACACATTTTCAATTTCTTCCAAACACACATTAACGCAAAATTTGGGAACAATTAAATAACAAGCGTCCATCATATATTAATCAGAGATCAGAACCAAAAAAAGATAGTAGTGATGCTAATAATCTCCATATCATAAACAGGTACAGAAGTAAAAATTCAATCATCTAACAACAGGAATCATTGAAGGAAAGCAAAACCCTAAAAATCAGAATTGAAATACGAAATCAGGTCAACCAAATCAATTCGTTCAAGGAGAGGATCCTAACCTCGCTCGACGTACGCCATGGGGGTCGATCCCTTCAGAGGGTTCGTTTGTTTTCCAGAATCTTCTTCAATGGACGACGCTGTGTCCTTATAAACGGTCGGTTCTTCCGACGACTTGGTTCTGATTGGCTCTCTCCAGCTGGCTGGAAGACGTGGCGCGACGTGATTGGTTCTACTTTTGAAATTTGACCTCCAAGTCAAGGATTATCCGGCAGCGTTTTATTATACTTGTGCAGTTGGGTTTCACGTGATCAGATCTGGCCTGCCAGGCCCGTTCGGGAAATTTAAACAGCCCAACATGCCAGGACTTGTTTGTGGGCTTGAGACTCGTACTGGAGACATTCTCCGGTGGGGAATACTCCCATGCAAAGCAATGGCCTTCACCAGTGCTAAATGCGCAATTTAAGGGTGAAATTAATATGTATTTTTTTTAATTTTTGTTTTTAAGAGTGTTATAGTTGTCACATTTTTAATTATTAATATTATATATTTTTATTTTAATTGATTATTATACTTGTTAATTTATTTAAAATAAAAAATGTGGGATTTAAAGAAAAAATGTATAATGAAAGAGTATAATAGTTATTTACATTAAAAAAAATATAATATTAACTATTTAAAGTGTAACAATAACTTTATTTTGCTTGTAGTGTAATTATACTTTTTGATATTAATTAATATTAAAAAATAAAAAAAATTAATTTCATCACTAATGTCATATGAATCATTTTAATTAGACAATTATTAACTTTTTTTTTCAATAATAATTAATGATAAAAAGGTATAAAAATTGCAATAATGCACTTTTAACATGTGTCTTATGGATATAGTTTATAAAAATCCTATATTTTTTTGTCATTAAGTTATGAGTTTTTCTAACTTATAAGTTTACAATCATGACGTGTAGTTAAAGAAATATAAAATAATATTAAATGTGTGAATGAATATAACATCACAATTAGATTATTGAATGAAAAAAATTAATTATATAATGACATATCATACTGTAAACTTGGGATACCACATGCCACTATAATTATAATATTTTTATCTTTACATTTTTCTACCTTGTGGCTTATGTTAAAAGTGCTTTTGTTATCATAAATTTATATTAAAAAAAATCTAAAAAGTAACATTAATTTTAATTTCATTTCTATGTAAATAAATTTAATTAAATATTAATTTTTATTCTTTCAAAACTCTTAACTCCTAATATTAATCACTTTATTCTTTAGTGTAACTAATGTTGAAAAGTATAAGATGCAATTAATGTTGGATATTTACTTTCGTAAGAGTGTTGTTAACTTTTTGTGCTCAAGTTTAATATTTAATAATTACTATAATTTAAAGAGTCCAATAAATTCAATTCATATTTTTCTTCTTCACAATAAATATCAGTCCCAACGAAACATGCTAGTTAGCACCTCGAAATTCCATTCAAAATCATGTTAATTTATGTGGTATTACAGATTATGCAAATTATTATATTTAAAATTACTTTAAATTGAATAAAATGTATTAACTTGAAACAAAATTATGATTCTTTTCCTAAAAGCTCAATATTCAGGTGAACTCTTCCAGAAAATCAATATCTAAATGAACTTTAAAACTTATTATTGTTGATCCAAATTATCGACCAAAAGTAAACCAGCATGGTTTCTCAACAAAACCAACGCCAAATCAAAAGAAAACGAATGCCAAGTTCTATACCAAGTTACTGATATGAAAAAAGAAGCCACCATCAGTCGAGGAGAGAACCATGGCTGTTGCGCGGAGGTGCTGGCAGAGAAGGGAACTAAGGGGCAGGGTTGATACTTGTTTGGGTAACTTCACAAACCTATACAGTAAAAATCTTCAGCTACTTTAACACCTAAAACTCTAACAACATCCTCAAGAAAAACATTTTGACATTCAAGTTAGCAATACATAATATTCTAGAAAGAAAAACTCTTAAGGAGTAATTGCAAAAAAAGAAACTTTGATACCTTGAAAAAAAATAATTTGAGATATTTATAACCCTCAAATCCTAACATAAAGTTACACGTGTATGGCTCTGATTAGTCCTTTTATATGCCCACACGTGGGTATATCTGAATTAGTATGATGTGTTTTCTTCATTGTGGATTTAAAGATGAATTCCTGGGCCTGCTGTAATGGCCCAGGTAGGATGTTGGGAAATGTTGGGCCTATTCCCAACAATACTACTGCTGACAAAGAACAGGAGAAGTGTAGTTGTTGATGGTGCAGCCAGAGAAGACAACCAAGGGTGAAAATAATTGAAAGGAATGGCATTGGGTGAAGAGAGGAGAAGGGAAAGTGGGAAACGCAGGTGAAGAAAATTGGATGGAATGATTCTAAGATTATTGTAAATAATGTAATTGATAAATGGGTAATTTTGAAGTTAAAGAAAATTGAGTAATGTCAACTGTAAAAGCTTCCGCAAGAAAACTTTATTTTTTAAGCTCCGTCTGACAAAGTTGTGCCTAAAGGGTTTTTTTTTTTTTATACATTTGATAATAATAAAATATATAAAAAATAATTTTTTTTAATTTCTCGTTATTTAATTTAAGATTTAAATTGCACATAAAAGCTTTACCAAAACCAAATGCATAAATTTTTAAAGGTATTGTGTCATTACGAGTGAAAATGCATTCCGAATGACACTTTAAATACACCCTTAATATATTTTTAAGAAAGATATTTAATTATTATAATTATTATATATTTTTAATAAAAAGTCAGAGGAGAAGATAAAATCAAACACGATATCCCTCAATAATGTTTTCATTTATAAAACGAAGTACTATTATTTCACTCGTAATATGACAAACAAATACACCTTTAATATCGGCATCATCCACGTTACATGAGACAATGATGTTTGTCGTTCTCTTCTCGTTCCAACTTCCAACAATCCTTCAAAACTAACAGTATTCGTCTCATCAAAAATAACTAACAGTATTCGTCTCATAAAAAATAACTAACAGTATTCGTGAAACCATAAAAAATGTAGTCAAACTTTTTTTTAATTGCTCTTTTTTCGTTAAAGACGGCAGGAGATAAAGATGTTTTATTATTATTATTATTATTATTATTGAAAGTTAAGAAATAAATAAATAATTTTATATAAATATAAAATATAAAATTTATATATAAATCAATCATAATTCTTGTTTTATATTTGATTGTTAAAAGTTTAATGTTGGTCATTTCAGATCCAGTGCATGAATTTTTTTTCCTTGATTTGAAATTGCATAATGAAGACAACTTTTTAATTTTTTTAGTTCACTTTATCCAAATGACATACAACTTAAACTTAGAGATTTTTGGTATTAATCTTTGATATTAAAAAATTATATTAAATCATAACTAATTTAGAATGAAACATAATTAGAACTCATAAAAAGAGAAATTCTCTTACTGTTTGTTTTTTTATTCACAACATTTAAATTCAAAATTTTAATTAAAGAAAACTAAGTTCTTTTTACTTAAATTAAATTAATAAATTGTTAGTAACTCAAAATTTTTTACTTCACTATTATTATTAAATTATTTAAATTAATAATAAAAAGTAATTTTTTATGGTACCCTACATGAAAGTCTAATGTTTGTCGTTCTAACTTCTAACAATCCAATTCAAAACTATCAATATTCATCCTATCAGAAAAAAAAACTATCAGTATTAATTCATAGTTGTTTATTTATTTATTTATTTATTATTTAAGAGTTTTTAAAGTACCAGTATTCATCATATTAAAAAAAAACCTACCAGTATTAATTCACATTTATTTATTTATTTATTTATTATTTAAGAGTTTTTAAACTACCAGTATTCATCCTATCAGAAAAAAACCTACTAGTATTAATTCATAGTTGTTTATTTATTTATTTATTATTTAAGATTTTCTAAATTAATTTTAACACATCTTGAAATTAACTTTTTTTGAGTAATTTTAAAGACACACATTTACATTGATTTAGTATACTTAAAAAAATTAATTTTTTAAGTACTAGTTTAAAACTTGAAATTGATAATTATTTTTCTCACACAAGCATTTGTTAGGGCTACATAATTTATATAATTTTTTTATCATAATTTGATTATTAAAAATAATTAATAATTAATAAAATAATTAATATTTATTATTTAATAAATTAAAACTAATTTATAAATAAATATTTTCATATATCTTAATTAATTAATTTTAAAAAATTATAAACTAATAAAAAAGTAAAATTATATAGTTATAACAATTGATTGTGTGGCCATAAACCACTTTGTATTCATCCCATAAATAAATAAATAAATAACTGTTTTTATTCGAGAAACCATAAAAATGTAATCAAACTCTTTTTTTTTTTCCATGATTAACGTCACACAAAGATTTGTTATAAACATACAAATATAGTATAACTATTAAATATTATCAATTAATAGTTACAACTATTAATTGCTCTTAATAGTCGAATTCAACAAATTTACAACATATTTATGTGGTTTTAACAAATCTTCGCATGACCATAATCATGGCCTCTTTTTGTTTTTTTAACATAAAAATGTAATCAAACTTTAGTTTGGCGATAATTTCTTTGTAATAATACAATATTTAGGTGAGATAAATAAAAAAATAAAATATGTTACATGTTATTATACAACTCAAAATCAAAAACAAAATTTAAATTAATTGGATTTATTTTATTATTTTATTGAAATAATTTTAGATATAAGATCTAGCTCCAAATTTTGCATGCATATATGAATAATATAAAGTATTAAATTTAACTATTGATTTGATAAAATATAAATTATAAAAAAATTATTGACTAGTGTAACGTATAACAATTTAACTAAATGTTGCCTTAAAAAAATGTCAAGATTTTTTGTAACATCAAAAAGTTAATTTCTTAACATTATAAAAATTTAAATTTTAAATTTTATTTTTAAATTAATAAATATCAATTCAACTAAAATTCTTTTTAATAAAATTCAAGATTCTTGCCATCGTGTATGTATCATTGCCATCAGCATCATTATAATTGATGGATAAAAAAGAATAATTATTATTTTATTATCATTATTATTGTAATTACTATTATTCAGACAACAAGACTAGTAATTAGTAACAAACTTATGTCTACTTATTCACACACAAAAAAATAAAAAAATTTGCATTTCCTTATTGTGGCTCAATGGTCACTGTTACTCAAAAGAACAGTTGATGGAATGTGCTCTTGTTCTTAGGTTTAATTCTTAGAGAGCAAATACTAACTTTCTAATGAAGAAAAACTTATGTTGACTTGACTGTTTGATAGATAACAGCACAAGGTTTTACACTAGCAGGTAGGCACGTTTTGGTCGGTTAGGAAGCGCTGCACCCGGTCCTAATTTTGGAACCTCCAGCCTGTATATATATTATATGGACTCTGCCATAGACCCATAACCACAACGGTCAAACTCTCTTTTCAAATAAGGAAACAAACATGGAGGTTGAGAGAGTACAAGCTTTAGCCTATGGTGGCCTCGCTGAACTTCCTGCAGCGTTCATCCGGCCAGCCCACGAGCGACCGGAAAATACTAAACCGCTTGAAGGGGTGACCGTGCCAGTCATCTCACTGTCACTGCCTCATGATGTCCTAGTGAAGCAGGTGTCAGAGGCGTGCAACGAGTGGGGGTTTTTCCTGATGACGGATCATGGGATATCGCCTTCGTTGATCAAAAGGCTGCAGGACGTGGGACAGGATTTCTTTAAGCTGCCGCAGGAGGAAAAGGAGGCATATGCCAATGACCCTTCAAGTGGCAAGTTTGAAGGGTATGGCACCAAAATGACCAAGAACCATGACCAGAAAGTTGAGTGGGTTGACTACTTCTTTCACCTCATGTCTCCTCCCTCCAAGGTCACATATGATATCTGGCCCAAAGCTCCTCCTTCTTACAGGTATTGTAATCTTAATAATATTCCCTTTGTCTCTAGCTAGCATTTTTAACAACTTTTGTACAGGGAAGTTACGGAGGAATACAACAAGGAAATACTGAGAGTAACAGAGAAGCTGTTGGAGCTGCTCTCCGAGGGGCTGGGGCTGGACAAGAAGGTTTTGAAGACTACATTAGGAGGGGAAGAACTGGAAGTAGAAATGAAGATAAATATGTACCCACCATGTCCACAGCCTCATCTGGCCCTCGGAGTTGAACCTCACACGGACATGTCTGCAGTCACCTTGCTTGTCCCTAATGATGTTCCAGGCCTTCAAGTGTCCAAAGACAGCGACTGGGTTGCGGTTGATTACTTGCCAAATGCGCTCTTTGTCCATGTAGGAGATCAAATTGAGGTAAATTAAAATATGCCAAATTTTTTATTTCCACGCCTAAATATTATTTTTTTTATAGTTTAATATTTTTAAATTTTTAAAATTTGTAAAAAAAAAATTAAAATTTAATGACCAAATCCCTTATTTACATCTTGAGTTGCATGTGATTTGATCATTAATTTTAAATTTTTTTTTATAAATTTTAGATTATAAAAAATATTACCAGAAAATAAAAACTTTATTAATTAAGTGTTAACAATAAAAAAAGACAAGAATTTTCAGTAGGTAAATAAAGGATTTGTCCATTAAAATACAACATGGTCTCATGGAGATAAGGATTTTTATTATTATTATTATTATTAATTTTTTTATATTTGATAATCATATTAGATTCCGATTAATCTGAAATTAAATCACATTAGATTTTATTATCTGATAATTATATTAGATTTTAATTAATCTAAAATTAAGTTGTATTGGATTCATTATTCAATAATTATATTAGATTCGATTAATCTAAAATTGAATCACATAAGACTCATTAAAAAAAAGTCAATGCACCATATGTCCGTTTGGCCTACCCATTTGTTTTTTATTATTAACTAATTTATTATTTTCAGGTACTGAGCAATGGCAAATATAAAAGTGTCATTCACAGAAGTGTAGTGAACAAGGAGCGGACCCGCATGTCATGGGCAGTGTTTTGTGCACCTCCACATGAGGCAGTGATAGGACCACTCCCGCAGCTTGTGGACCAACGGAATCCGGCCAAGTACTCCACCAAGACATTTGCTGAGTATAGATATCGCAAATTCAATAAGCTCCCACAGTGATGTTTTAAGAAGTACCTTAACGTGTTGGAATAATGTTCACTTTGAGGATGCCATTATGGGTGGATTTTCATCAAGTGTCTCAGCCTTCACTCTTTGTGACTCTCTCATTATGACTCTTCATGATATTGTATTACTCCTTTTTTCTTTTTTCTTTTTCTTTTTTTTTGTTTTTGTTTTTGTCAATCAAAGTAAAATTTTATATTAATAAGAGTATTATTCCAATGTTAATGATCTTCATTGTAGTAAAAATTGATCATTTGCTTGGATTCACTGCATCTATTTCCCAAAAATGCATAGCTACAAGTTCTCAATATATGATAACCACACTTTTAAGTATTTGAGCTTTACAATAATTAATTGCAACTATAGAAAATGGTGTTGGGGCATAAAGTATGCGTAAGAAAGAAATAAATAGGGTTCAACTTCCAGATATAGGTTTAAGAAACCCTTACACTAATTTTTCACTATATATTTTAAAGTTTAAGGCTCTCTTGGGAATTAAAGTGTTGCATTATTGTTGAAATTTTGAAATAAGTAGTAGAGAATTGACATGATACTTACATTAGTGTAAGTTGATCATAACTCAAAAAGAAAAGAAAAAAAACAAAACAAAACTCCCTTCATTTAAATTTCATAGCCTTAATTTGGTTTTTTGACTTTTCAAAAATAAATTTCAGATAAAAATTTAACATATATTATATATAAATGATTATTGAAAATTTTCTCATATCAAACAAAAATACTCAACAAGAACTATATTTAAGGAAAAATTTTCAATTATATATTGTTTATATAAATTATTTAATTTTCATACGAAATTCATGTCTAATAAATTAAAAATCAAATTAAAATTACTAGATTTAAACTGTGAGAGTATATAAATACAATAATACAATAATCCAAACCTAAAATGTGTTGAAAGTCAAAACCAGTTCCTGTCCGATTCCACCTACCAATTACATAGAACAATTCCAACTACCAAAGCAGATACAACAACAGACACCCTGACCCTACCAGCCTGTTCAGTTATGAGATAAGTGTTTTTTAATTTGGATAATATATATATATTGGTAGTTTAGGTATTGAAATTATTAAAATATTATTAATAAATAAATATAAATGAGAGTTTTATTACAAGTGTCTTGATAATTTTAAGTGTTTTAATAATTTTAATATTTAAATTACATAAAAAAATATAATCTATATTAAAAAATACATTTATATTCTGTCTTACCTTTGCAAAATGAAGACTGATAGTGAAAGGATAAAAAGATAAGATATTGCTTGTACGGAACCTTCAATTTCATACACAATTGATATTGTATTTTATTTTTGCTGAGAGCTGTAGATTTGAAGTTTCAGCAAGCATTTATTCCTATGAGAATGAGATGATGTTCTAGGATTGCAACAGAGGAAACGGTCATTAAAAGCACTCACATCTTTCCTCTGGCGTCATAATTGGCATCCTATGTTCCACCAGTTGATACTGGACAGATGTTATAAGATTGAAGGCAATGCAGAAAGCTCCTCTTGAGCTACCTGCAAACATTCATCAAGGCTATTGGAAATAGCCTCCAGCAAGCTAAAGCCACTTACTGGCCATACAAGCTGCCTAACGTGGTTCTGTCTGTATCTCCCCCAACAGCATTGAACGACTCTTTATATATATATATATATATATATATATATAATAATGTTTATTTTTTGTTTTCTTTTTCAAAAATTAAGAAAAATATAATTTTAAAATTATATTAATATAATATATATTTTTATTTAAAAAATTAAAACATCCCTTTTAAAATCATATATTAAATTGTTTTTTTTTATATTTTATTAAAACAACATAACTTTAAAATAATTTTTTTTAATTTAAGATAATAAATAAACATTAATATTATATATATCAATTAATTTAATAACACGTATCCTAAGTTTACAATACATCGGTATATATGTTCTTGCCGATATATACACATTAAAAGGAATTTATGGTAGATTCTAAAATTAGATCAATACTATAAATTACCCAAAAAATATTTAATTTTTTAAGGATTGGCTTCCACTGTACACACTTGATTGAGAAAAAACATCAAACGCATGACGGAAATTAAAATTTCAAGAAAGATAAAACAGCAAACAACTCACTAACCTGCTGATTTACAGTGCTACCGCCGCCAAGGAAAGACAGTACGTGACAACACAGCAAGACCAATCCCGACGTAATCGATCCAGAAATGTCTGAACAAGCGAAATTCCCGTTAAGCAAGGACGATCTTCCATGACAAAGATCTGGTTTTGGCTTCAGCTTTCTGGGAGAAAATGATGAGATTTTTTTGTTTCCAGCGAAGAGGTATCAGCCGACACGCAACTGGGTATTGGAAAAATTAGGTCCTTTCGTTTGGGCCGGGTTGATAAGTCCGTTAGTTTGGTCTTTCTTTTAGAGACTTGGATTCCTACTAAAGCCCACATGAAAGATGTGTGTATGCCAAGTCCAGACCCATCCAAAAAAAAAGGACTTCTTCTTGGCCTTTTTCTTTTAAAAGGAAAGAGAGGAAATTGAGGCTTTGAGAAAGAAAAGAAGTAAAAATCACTTTTATCTTATAAAATTGGTAAGTTTTAACTATTTACTTTATAATATAATATTTTTAGTTTTTTATCTTACAAACTTGATAAGTTTTAATCCCTCACCTTACAAAGTTAATAGGTTTAAAAACCCTAATCTTATATTATGACATTTTTAACCCCTCACCTATATAAATTAAAAAAAATAACTCCCACCAAATATTAAGTTATAACATTTTGTTGGTTATGTTAACTGACTGTTAACATCCATTAGCATTTTGTTATAAAAAATATGAAATTTAAATTTAATTTTATTGGTTAGTTTTATTAACGAAATGTTAATGGATACTAACAGTTAGCTAATAGAATTAACAGTCAGCTAATAGAATTAACAGTCAGCTAACAGAACTGACAGTCAATTAACAAAACTAATAGAACATTATAACATGATGTTAAGAGAGCTATTTTTTTTCAATTCGTATAAATAAGAGGTTAATAGTATCATAATATAAGGTGGTGGGCTAAAATCTATTAACTTTATAAGGTAATGGCTTAAAACTTATAATATAAAATATTAAAAATGTCATATTATAAGGTTATGGATTAAAACCTACTAATTTTGTAAGGTGAGAAACTAAAAGTTGGTTTTAGCCAATAAAAAAGGAACATTAAAGGTGCTCATATGTGCCAAACAAAAAAAAAAGGAACATTACAGGTGCATTTATTTTCACAAAAAAAAGGGTGCATTTATGCCACTTTTTAGTACTAATTTATATAAAAAGATATTAATTTTAATATTGATATTATTTAATTAAATTTAATTAAATAATTAATAAAAATAAAATATTAATGTTTCTTAACTAGATTTGGAAAAAAAAAATAAAAAAAAATTCATCTTTTAAAAGTTAAGATGTTTTAGCTTTTTTTTTTACAAGATTTAATTAAAATAAAATAAATAAATTTAAATTTTTTTACTTAATTTTTTTTGTAGACACAATTGATAAATATTTTTTTAATAAAAATAATATTTATTTTTATTTTTAATATTAATTAATAAAAAAATTACAATAATAAATATATTCTATAAGATAAGATGTTTTAGCTTTTTTTTTTACAAGATTTAATTAAAATAAAATAAATAAATTTAAATTTTTTTACTTAATTTTTTTTGTAGACAC